AGAAAAATATATGGTTCTACTTATCCAAATTTACAACACTCCCACTTTATGAAATTCATATTCTTTATTTGCATGAAATGTAAACCATATGCTTATATTGGGAAGAGACTGAATATTGTTAATAACACATTAATATTAAGTACATTATATTGACATCACAGAGTTTATATTCTTCATGTTAATGTTATCTAACATCATAAGTCATTTAAAGGCATGGTTTATATATTTGATTTATTTTATGTAAAATGTCTTACAACAAGGCATTCAAAAAAAATTCTGGTGGGCAGAAATATACCTTTTTATTTTCTTGTTTCAGTAAATCTTTTTGGATTCAGGTTTATCTGATTTTCTTCACTAGTAATAGTAGTTGGAAAATATGATGGATATATTATATTTTCTTGCATTAGTGGCAGTGCTGATGAAGGCTAAAACTTTTAGGAATAAAATCACTTCATGTAGAGACAGAGCTTTAATAGATTCCACAAATGTACAAAAGAATCAACTCCATTACAACCACTTGACTAGTTCTAAATAATTTAGTCTACTGGTTTTCTATACATTAAATGAAAGTTATAGGATATTCAACAAAGGTAAAAAGCCTTTATGATAATTAGATCCTTGGAAAAACCAAATACGCTCAAACTAACATAGCTGTTAAGAAGCTATAGACCAGCATGTCTAAAGTTTTAATCTACATAAGTGCTATTTCAAATGAAGGTTTCTTGAGGGATGTTACAGTCAGTATGCTTCAAAGGGTTGGGCATGGAGTCCAGATATGAAGGTGACCTCTGGAAAATGCCTCCATAATCCCTGAAATAGAGATATCAAACCTCTTGGGCTGGAAAAGTAATGCTAGTAAACACTAGAGAAAATAGACCTTCATGTCATGTAAGTTTGTACTAAGAAACAGAAAGGAGAAAGTATGTCAGTCAGACATTAAGGAATAATTTCACACAACATTTTAGGCTATAATTCAACATTTTGGAGAGAAGAAGAAAACTCAAGACTCTAAACAAAAATTCAATATAATCTCTTGGTAACTAGTACAAGAAATATTTAACTATACTGATAAACATCTATTTCTAATTTAAATGCCACAAGAAAAAATTACTCTAAATCATTTCAAAAATGCATATTTTTATTGCTAGGGTATGACAACCCCATAATTAATAGTATTTTGAGTAATAGTAAAAAAAAATCCTTACCCGATGAATTAAAATATCCTGTGGACGTTTCCAGGAATAAACTTTCAATGATGGTGGTAACTCAATCTTTCCTTCAGGGTCTTCAAAAAAATGCTATATAAAAAATAAATTAAGCTTTTTCTCCATATGGGTTTATTAAAATAAACATAACTCAATCTTAATGAAAACAAATCTGTGCATAAATTTGATCAATCAATAAGCACGTGTAAAGCAATTTGAGTGCTCGTCCTTAGAGCCAATTCGTGGAGTATTTGGAGAATACTGAATTTAACAATACTGCATATCATTAGCAGAAGGTGGATTGTTGAGTAGCATTTTAATTGTAGAGGAGCAGCCCAAACAAGCATGAGCTGCTTTGGAATGTAAATTAGGTATGGCGGGGAAAACCATTTTGGATAGGCCAGATACGGCCTTATTTTCCATTGAAAAAAAAATTTTTTAACTGAGTAGAGAAGATTGAGAACTATTTACTTAATTTTCAACTGTTAGAATCACAAACAGGATTATATGTAAATAAAATTTGGACCTTTGACCCAACTGACTTTCATTTATGAATTTTTGAAATCTTATTCTTTTGAGATAATTATAGATGCTGTACATAAAGATGTGTGAAATAATACAAAGAGTTCCTGTATTCCCTTTCTTGTTTCTCCGATGGTAACATCTTATGAAACTGTAGTACAGGATCAGCAAAACTCCAAGGACAACTGCTATCGTTGTAAATTTAAGGTAATTAATCTTGGTAAAATATGGATGTTGCAAATCAAGGCTAAGAGCTACCAGGCTACCCCATCATGGAGATGCAATCACAAGGCTTGGACACTGTCTACCACTCACTCCAGTGGAGGGGGTCTTGCTTTGTGAGCCAAGAATGCTGAGGCTGTGGGACGGAACTGGGGTGGGGAGTCAGATTCTAGCCCAGATGTTACCACCTTTGCACTGTAGTTTGAGCTAGTGCTCTCTGACCTTTGAAAGCTGCAGTGCCAGAATGGGATGTAGGTTAAGGTTCTCAAGTGCCACATGCCATTGGATAGCCCCTGTTCACAGCAAGAGTTGACTTCGTGTTTCCCTAACCATGCAGTTGTGTAGGCTCCTTAATCCAAGGGCGACAGTATCTACATTGGGGTCTGATGTTCAGCCAGCCTGATTCCTATTTGCTGCCATCAAATAAAATGGACATCAGGTGACCAGCACACTTGCTACCGCTCCAGTCCCTCTGGTTTTCTTCCAATAAATGTTCTTCCAACACACTTGCCCTTGCTTTAATAACACCGAGCAATGCCAGAATTTGATACTCAACCTTCCAGAGATCTGTAAGATTTTTTCACAGTCCCCTGACAAAAGCATGTCTGCACTCCAAGCTCCCTAAAGAGTTATTTTTTATATCCTATTTCAAAAATGCCAAGCAATTTTGCCCTTCCCCTCCCTGTTGTTTCTCCACACTTTGGAGTGACTCATCTCTAGGTCTTCCCCAGAACTTAACTGCTCAATTGAGAATTTGCGCAATCTATTCTCCTGATGTAAATTCTGAAAGCTACACACACACACAGGCACACACACAGTCCCCATA